CAGAAGACAGGTGATCAGAGGACAGGTGATCAGAAGACAGGTGATCAGAGGACAGGTGAACAGAGGACAAGTGATCAGAGGACAGGTGAACAGAAGAAACCTGGTGCAGCAGGTTGTGTGATCGGATCTCAAGCGCCTGGATCTTTGCCAGCAGCTTCATGTCGTCCACCTCATAGTCGGGGATGATTTTAAAGCCGTACTCATCGTGATCCCTGAAGATACACCACAAAGTCATCCACATGTGATTAATCAGTTTACCAAAAGGATCAATGGAGCATGAACATCAATAATCTCTCAACCGGCATGACGTGTTTTGTGTCACTTCTGGTTCCTGCTGGTGTTTGTGTATCGACCTCTGATCTTCTCTCAGAATCATCTGGAGTCACATTTACACTCGTTCTGATTTTCACACTCATCTCTCTTCCTCTTTTCCGACTTCACTCATTCACAGTCAGTAAATAATTCACTACTCCCGTCTGGTGTTAGCTCAGCATATATAATTATATATCTAACCCTAAACCATAGACTGCAGATAAATATGTATATACATACATTTATATAAATCTTTATATCTAAGCCTAAAGCATAGACTGTAAATAAATTATATGAATATATATAAATATATGTAAACCATAGACTGCAGATAAATATATAAATATATATATATATATATATATATATATATATAAGTCTATATACCTAACCTTAAAGCATAGACTGTAAATAAATTATATAAATATATATAAATATAAATATCTAACCCTAAACGGAAGCTCCCGGTTCACCACCAACCTGTCAATGTTCTAAAAAGCTCTCCTTTGTCCTGAAGACAACATAAATTAACTCTTGCTGGTATCATGAATATGTAAAGTGCCTTCAAAGAATTATGAAAATGATGATGAAGATTGTTTTTACCTGTTGGTGTTGATCTTGGAGACGCTCTTCAGCTCTCCTTTCAGAGCATCCTCAATCATCTTCTGAACGGCCCCACGTTGGACTGGATCCAGAGATTTGTTCTCCTGCAGCTTTTGGAGGACGCCCAGGTAACGGCTCTCCAACTGACAGTTACTGGCCTCCAGGTAAGCACACTGCAGCCAACCAGAGGGCAGGACACAGAGAGGTCACTTCCTGTGCTGTTTGATTAACAGAAGAACAACTGGAAAACAACTGAATAACACCTGGAAAACACATTGATAACAACTAAATAACAAATGCATAAAACCTGGAAAAACTGAATAAGACTAGGAAAACACTTGGAGAACACCTGGATGCAGGTTCCTGGTCTGACCCACCTTCACCATCAGACTCTTCTCTTGTTCTGAACTTTTCCGCCACAGTTTCGTCAGCTGATAAATCTCTGAGTTCAGAAAAGTATTCTGGGTTTTATATGCTTCGATATCGTCCTGAAGGAGAGAACACGCACAGATTACAGATTACTGTAGAACCCACTGATACTGGATTACAGATTACACACCTTCAGGTTCTCGTTCTCCTGCTGAAGCTGTTTGAAAGGCTGAGAGTCCAGACTGCCACCAGAGGGCGAGGCGGAGCGCGGCGGGTTGGACATACAGATGGTCACCTGATCAGACAGCTTAACGATCACCTGACAGGAAGCAGTGTTCTTGTCAGTCAGAGAACTCTCATCTCTCATCATCATTTGGTGTTTTTCTACACATTCATTCTTTTATTCATGAATGATTGACTGATCACATTAATCAAACTCAGCTGTTTGGTGATGACCTGTCACCGATCTCAGATTAGTTTGAACGATGTATAAATTATGAGAGAAAAAGGACAGAGGGACGACAACTGTGATGAATCCACATCTGGTTCACCTGTGCTTCTTCCTCAGGTGTGATCTAACCTCCTGCTTGGCGTTGTTCTTGTCCATTAGTATCCTGACGTTATCTTGCAGTTCAGCCAGCTGCACATCTGTCTGAGCCAGACTCCTCCTCGTTACCTCTGCCTCCGTCTTCGACTCCTCCAGTTGACCTTTCAGGTCAGCCACCTGCCGCTCACGGTGTCGAAGCAGCTCCAGACGTTTCTGCTCACCCTCTGCTGCCAAAAACTCTGCACAGGTTCTTTTCTCCAGCTGAGACGCCTCCAAAGCTTTATGGAGGATCCAGACTAATTCCTAGAGGAGACACAGAACCACTATCACATCATTGACTCTGAGTCAAGACTAAAATAAACCTTGAAACAATGAATGGCAGCATTAATCCTTAAAAACGTGAAAAAGGTCTAATCTACACTATTCTAATTTTACTAAAAAAATAGCTAAATCAAACAGCAGCAACTGTAGTTTGTAGCAGAAGGAAAGAGTGCGATTTTTGGGGACTGGCAGATTATTCCAGAGCAGGATGGCGAGGGTAGATGAATAAAACTGCTACTAATCTGATCACCTTCTGAGCTTTGACCTCCTCGATCAGCATCTGTTTCTCCTGCTGCTGGCGGGACGTCCGGTCTGAGGAAGAGGACAGAATGTCTCTGCGGAGGACCGGCATGTTGGACAAGCTGAGATTGTTCGTCTTCCTGCTACGATTGTCAGGCAGTGACGGGGATTCCATACTTTCTGCTGGAAACAACGGACCTGCTGGATCAGCCAATGGGAGTGGAGCAGGAGGGGCTAGTGAGATGAACATGAGCCAGAAGAAAAGAATAAAAAAACAGAATGTAATCAATATGACATGTCAAGATGAACAAGTCCAAAGTCAAGTTCCAACAAGTCATTAGTTGATTCTCAAGTTAAGATGCATCAGGACACGGAGGCCCAGAATCGAATCTAAGGAGTCTCGCCACCAGTAGATTCATAGAATTAATTAATTACTTTTATTTACTTAAAATAAACCTAGCTATAATTATGTGAAGTCAATATCCTATCACTGTACTATTGCAGTAATACTGCCATAGAACAATACTGTAGTTAACTGTCGTACAGTACATACCAGCAGTGTTAATGTGTAAAGGGTTTGGGGTTGACAGTGGAGCTTCTACATGAAACACACTTTGACTCCACTCCTGAGATGATCTCTTACGAAGACTGTGGACAGAGTTTCTGAACAAAGAAAAACAACATTGTTTTTTGTAATTACTAATGACACACAAAGCTGAAGCTCATGGGAAATGTAGTGGTACAGCGTTTCTTGTCAGAATGACAGAGGTGTCATTGGACTCTTGACTAACACATCTCTTACCTCAGTGAAGAAGAAGAAGAAGAAGAAGAAGAAGAAGAAGAAGAAGAAGAAGAAGAAGAAGAAACCTCTAGAAAACTTAAAACGTCACAGAACCTGCTGAGGTCACTCACTGCAGCTCGATCAGAGGATGTTTGATTGACACGTTTGTGATCTGCGTTCGTTGTGAAGAAGCATTTGCTGCATTCTCCCCCACCAGACCCAGAGGCCTTGTCAGAACCGGCAGGAAGTCATCTGGAGAAACAGGAAACAGAATTACTTACAACATGTAAGTGTACATTACATTACATTTCATTTGAGCGGAGTGAATTTAGGTTGAAGACCAGTCGAGCTGCTGCATTCTGGAAGAGCTGCAGCGGTCCGATAGCACTAGCAGGTAAACCAGTCGGGAGGGAGGTGCAATAGTCTAGATGTGAGATGACCAGAGCCTGGACTAGAACCTGCGCTGCCTTCTGAGAGAGAAGGGAGTGGGTGTACTACATTTAACTGCACTACATGTAAGTGTACTGAATTTAAGTTTAGTACATGTGCTTGTACTACATGTAAGTATACTTTGTGTAAGTGTACTAGATGTAAGTGTTCATGTACTTCCTATTATTGTATTAATTGAAGTATCTGATCTGAGTCCATCTGAAACCTTCTCTAAAAGCAGAACACTTCCTGTTTCTGTCTGACTTGTCAGGACATGATCACATACCAGAGAACCAGGTGACAACCCTCCGCACTGAACTCACCAACAGCTGATCACAGGAAACATTTCCTGATCCGATTTTCACATTAAGTTTTTAATCTTGAAAATTCTGAGAAAATGTTTTTCAGTCCCATCTGAATCAAATTATATAATTTATTTTGCTTATCATGTGATACATTTTAGAATAATAATGTAATACATTTTTTACATGCATGTTTATACAGTAGTTGTATGAAGTCATTTGGCAGGACTGCATGTCTCACCTGTATTGTTGTTGTTATTGGTCGAGTCTGGACAGGAAGACGTCTGTCTGTGCTGCCATCGTTTCACCTGTAGCTGCTGCAGCCAATAGAGCATCAGCTCCTGAGTCACTGCCTGGGGGGAGGGGTCTCTGTGAGACTATGATGAAGATGGTCTGTATTTATGAAGATCTGTATATAGCACTTTTTCTCATCTTGATGACACACAAAGCTCATTACAGTACAGTGTTTGCCATTTATCCATTCACACACATTCATACAGTGCATCTATGTGTAGCACTTTCTCTATGAGAAGAGGACATTTTTGGCGGATTCAGTATTTTGCCCAAGGACACTTCAGCATGCGGGGACCTCTTGGTCCACATGTCTACTACCTTTAGCTCTGGTTCACATGTCTCCTACCCTCAGTCGTGGTCAACCTATATCCTACCTTCAGTCCTGGTCCACGAGTCTCCTACCTTGAGTCCAGGTCTGGTCCTGGTTTACATATCTCCTACCTTGAGTCCAGGTCTGGTCCTGATCCAGGTCCCCATGTCTCCTACCTTCAGTCCTGGTCCACGTCTCCTACCTTAAGTCCTGGTCTGGTCCTGGTCCACATGTGCCCTACCTTGAGTGTGAAGGTTCGTTCATGTGTCTTGATGTGGAATGTGCCTGTCTCTGCCTTTAGTGGATAACTGAAGGTAGCACCACTGAGCTCCACCCGGCCAAGCGGCATCACATCCTGTGGTGTTCGATAGTAGAACAGCAGGTTCTTTTTGTCTTCATATGTGAACCACCGGCGCTTCCAGGACCTCAGGGGCCCCCCTTGTTTCTGCAGGAAGCCGCACAATTTGGGCTCAGCTGAGGAAGACTCCTGAGGACGGGGTCTCACCTGGTCGCAGAACAGCTCAATGGTAATCCGTGGAGCCAGCGTTGGTGTTTTGGTCTGGTGGGTCTGATCGTTAACAGGAGGAGAAGGAGGATCGTGGTGGTTCTGCTGCTCTCTAGACTTGTGCTCCTTCTGGTTTTGTTTTTCAAATGATATACTGAAGACAGTTAAATCCTTTGTGGGCTCAGGGGGGACCTGGGTTTGGTCCTGAGAGTGATCTGGTTTTTGTTGTTCTTGCCAAAGAGGGTCTAGGTTTGGTGGAATTGGTTTGGTTGGAGAAGGTTGGTCTGGTTCTGGTTGATTGGGTTTTGGTTCATCTGTTGCAGAAGAATCTTCCAGGTTGTGTTTCTCCGTGGGATGAGGATCTTGTTTTGGTTGATCTATTTCAGTTTGATCTGGTGTAGTTGGAGGTGATTTTTGTGGATTTGGTTCATGTGGAGAGTCTTCTGGTTCCTGTGTTTCTGTCCGAATAAGTTTCAGGTGTAATTTAAGAGGGTCTGGTTTTGGATCATCTGTTGCAGAAGAATCTCCTGGGTTTTGTTGCTCTTTGGAACAAGAATCTGGTTTCGGATGATCCGGTTTGGATCCAGCTGATCTACCTGTTGTTTGATTACCAGGAGGATTTTCTAGTTTCTGTGCTCTGGTCCGAGCTTCCTGGTGGTCTGGTTCCTTCTCAGTCCGTGGAGTCTTGGCTGGTCTCTGGTGTTTCTGGGACTTTGTGCTCTGCTGGTCTCCATCCCTCGTCTCATCTTCAACATGGCCAGGAAGTGAATGAGAGGAGGCAGCGCTTGGATTTCCTACTGCGTGAATTCCATCCATCCTGGAAGAAAAGAAAATAGAAGAAAAAAAGGTTTATGGAGGAAACAGAAATTTTATCTGATAACATCACAATGTTTTTCATTTTCACAAAACAGGATTTAGTTTTTATTGCAAGAGAGAATCAGAGGTCTTCTTCTGTGGTGAAGATGGTGGAGAAGAGTGAAGAGGTTTTTCATACTATTTTCCTTTTCTTCTTACTGTGGGTTTATTCTATGATGATTGTGTGTGATATTTGTATACTGGTTACATATGCTTCGAGATAAAATAAATCTCTGGTGGTTTTCTTCAAAGATCAGAACTGTGTCAATTAGCTCATTGAAAGCGGGTTAACCATAGAGGACGAGTTCCTTCAGGTTTCCCTGCGAAAGTGGCTTCTACCCAGATCACAGTGTCGTCCGTCCCTCCATTCATTACCAATGAAATTCTGGAGCGAGAGCTGAGGCATTTCAGGATGTTTGCGAATGTTTTCCGCTTGTTTGGATGATGTTGTTGTAAAGACATGAAACTGAAACATGTCCAGTCTCTGTGGAGACAAGTCTTCATGTTTCTAGACTCTTGTCTCAGACACTGGACATGTCCTTCAGTGTTCGTCATGAGGATCAGTTTTATATTTTATATTATTTTCAATGTGGATACCTGGGTCACAAACGACACACACACACACACACACACACACACACACACACACACACACA